ATCTAAAGCACAAGTTAATTTTTTTCAGTCAGAATCATTGATTCAAATAGAATTAATCATATGACCTAGTCTTCTTGGAATCCAGTGTGATGGAAAATGGAGGGACTTGTCATTTTACAGTCCAAAGGGACCTATAGTGAATTATTCTTCCATTTATTTTCTCTCCAGGATTGATTCCAATATTACCAGAAATGCACAAGAAATGCTATGGAAATGGCATCTGCAGACTTGAGTGCTATGGAAGTGAAATGTTAGTTGCCTACTGTATGTTCCAGCTGGAGTGCTGTGTCAAAGGAAACCCTGATCCCTGATGTGAGAAGCCAGTGAATGTCAATTAACTTGGAAGTCCATGTTCACCCCCATCTTTCACACAGCCAAGGAATTTTAATTAAACTGTGACACTGTGATGTGCCCACAACTGTTGGTTTTTAGCATTTTTATAAGCCTTTGAGTTGTTATGATTTTGGATTTTAAAAACTGGGCCACAGCCTCCCTAAAAACAGCTAAGCTCCTCATGAAAACAACCTAGAATACATTTCCTCACTTCAAAGTGATATCCGTGCTCTCCTCAGTGCCTGCTTATCTCTTCACTTATAGAAAGGATGTCTTAATTATTCACAGAGGCTTCAAATTATAAAAACATCTTTTTATACCTAGGCTTTCAGCTCCCCACATACCTTTGCTTAGGTCCTCCCACCTATAGAGGAACAGATCTTCCCTGATGACTTGGTCTCCCTCACACAGACTACATAGGCAAGGCTTAGCTGCAGGCTGCCTCAAGTCTTGACTGAGCCTGACCCTGCGATTCTTCATACAGACTCCATGAGGCAGGTTCTCATTCACCACCCTGGTTTCAAGGAGTGAAACCATGGAACTTTACACCTCAGCCTGCTTAGGGTCCAGCTACAGGCTATGAGACCATTTGGCTATGGTTTAGAGTTGGCTCCTGAGCAGTAGAGTGGCCCACACTTCTACTGCCCATCATCAGGCCCCTCTGGTGGGGTGTCATCCTGTGGAACTCGGTGCTAACACCATGCTTTGCTGCTAGTGTCAGTAATAAACTGTCTAAATCCACCTAGATGCATTGTTCTCTTTGCCGGCCAAACTTCTGAAAGTATAACAGGCCAACCTAGAAATGCTGGTTGTCCTGCTGACTACTGCGATGCTAGTGAATGTCTACCCACCCGCTCAACACCACCAACCCATATACAGATGCTCGAGTGTGCGAGGGCTGCATGTGCTGCTCAGGAAGAGGGGTGCAGTGGCAGAGGGGGGGCAGAGATTCTGATTGTGGAACACTTCTCTTCAGCTTCAGCGCTCAATACAGCTTCGACTCTCTAGTAATTCTGAAAGGACAAAACTCTAGGTGCAGAGTCAATTGTTGACTGGGAGGGCTGAGGAAACAACGGCTAAGTCCTGGCCTGAAATGACAGTACTGCCTTTTTAGCCTCCTCACTGCAACTGGGAAGAGATGAAGGAATAGTGGGTGAGAAAGAATAAGGGGTTGTGAAGTTCTACCCTCCCAGACATTGTTCAGTCTGTGATAAAATCTAGTGCTGGTGTCTTTAGTTTGGGGAGATACTAAGAGTATAGTAGATTGTGTCTTCCTCTCAGAGACCCATACTGTGGTCATTAGGGGAGATAAGTTAAGTAGAATGGAAACAGAGATGCCCTGGAATGGTAACCTTGGTTGTTAAGTATCCAGAGTATGGAATGTATCAAGACAGGGCCCAGGAAAACTATCATATTCTGAAGGAGGCAGGGAATTCTTATTTGAAGAGCACTGAATCTTCTGCAACTTTACCCTCATAACATACAGGTAGCCTTATTTTACTCTTTCACTTCAAATATGTGTTCTTTAAACACACAGATAAACTATAACTTGAAGAATCCAGCTGTTATTGGGGAAGTTGAGGTATTCCTTTCCCCACTGAGTGCTTGGAGTGGAGTCCTTATGATATCCAGAGAAAAAAAATTTCTGAGACTCACATGGAAGAATGAGCGATTTGTATTTGTATGGAATTACATCTCTGGGTTTCCAAAGTCCCATTTCCCTTAATCCAGTGTAGCTGGGGTTTCAGCAAAGCTAAAAGCAAAGCAAGTGTCTGTAGTTTCCATTCCATGTTGCAGCCAGATCCAGTTAAGCATCAGGCTCATTGCAGTCCATTGTGTGTGTGAGTGCAGGGGAGCCAAGAGAGCACGTCCCCTGCAACAAGAGTCCCAAGAGCACAAGAGAAACCAGAGGAACAAGAGAGCAAACTCCTTGGCTTAAGGGATTAAATATCCCAAATTTTCCACCTTGCAGTGCCCATGCCTATTCTGGCCAATGACCTGTTCCCAAATGTGACTGAAGACAAGTACCCTCCCGACATCACCCCACTTTACTAGGAATGTGTCTCTCTCCCCTCCGCTGAACCCCTGGGAGTTGTAGCTTCCTGACAAAACTACCCAAATGACATGCCTATAATATTTGGCCTTCCTTTTGCTCCTTTCCTGTTATTAATAACTAGGTTAATTACAATGGTATCATATCCTCAGGTGATGATTTTAAAAAAAGAAACTATTAAACTGTAAGTAATAATAGCATTCTAAAGTACTTAGGGACGATTGTACTGATGCTTGTAACTTACTTTGAAATGCATCCAAACAGTTAGATGGATTGTTGCATATATTTTTTTATCCATAGAACTTAGTTCTTTGTGTGGAGCTGGAGGGCTGATACTGGCCTTAATCTATTGGCATAAATTCAGTTGTATGTGGAGAAGTGAATGAATATAAGGGGAACAATTTTTGCAAAGATTCCTGGAAAGAGAGAGGAATATGGATTCCATAGGATGGTATCTCTTTCCCGTCAGGCCACATAAGCATCTTCCTGAGTTCTGTGCAGAAAAAAAAAGATTGCAGGAAGCAGCAGTAAATACTATTTTCGAAAGAGACTCTGTGAGACTTGAGACCATGGGCTGCATTGATTTAATGCCTAGGTGATGGGGGGGAAATGCAGAACAGGGCTATTTACCCTGTCTCAGTATGGACCGGCATAAGGCTGACTCAGTGAAGCTTACACCCAATGTGGCAACCTTTTCTTTTGCCCCAAATCATATGGAGAGATATCAGTGTGACTATGACAGCACCAACCACAATGGCAGCTACAGTCAAATTTCAGTGGTAGACACCAGCACAGGGACCCAATGAATAAAAGCATGAAAGAGTTTTTAGGTAGGTCACATAAGACACATCCAAGGTCTCTCAGCAGTAAATGAGTGATTTGAGGTAGACAAGATGAGAAAGCACAACCCAGTACAATTATAACTCCATTGCTATTCAAAGGCATGACGAAGTTCATATGTCACAGAAGGCTGTTAAGTTAGAAAAAACCTAACTTAATCTACTCTATTCCACAAGCACTTATGGACCAAATGAGCTTGCAACAGTAAACACTAAAAACAGAAAAAAAGAAAGTACCCTGATTATTGGTTGTAGTAGAAAAGAGCCACCTGTTCTACCTGAACAGGACACACTCAGAATGGATGTAGCAGATGGCAGGAGTGACGTTAAGGACATTGAAACATGACGTGGCTGTGTATATCACCACCTTTGTCTTTTCCTTAGAAGAGCCAAAAGAGTCTAGTTCAGTGTTAGAATGTAATCTGCACAGAATGGGTACTTCAGCCATCACAGCAGCCAGCTCCAGACTGTGACAGTGTCCCTTCCCAAGAGTTTGCCCATCAGAAGCTAACTATTCTTTCTCTCCTTGTCGTATTGGAAACACCTCTTCTCTCTCATTGGCTTAATTCCTCCTAAAACCTATTCAAAAAAGAAGAGGCTGAGTCCTTATTAACTTGAATGATTTATCTTGCTTATGATGGTGAAAATTAATAATAGTTAAGAATTGAAACACTTTTATGGCCTGGTAAACAGTACCAAATTTCTCTGTGCACTATAAACTACAACATACATTGTATTTAAACTTAAATATTTTCCTTTTTGTTTTTTGTTTTTTAAATATATCTGTATTGATTTCAGAGAGAGAAAGGGAGAGGGGGAGAGAGAGATAGAAACATCAATGATGAGAGTCATTGATCGAGCCCACAACCCGGGCATGCGCCCTGACCGGGTATAGAACTGCGATCTCCTGGATCTTAAGTCGATACTCAACCACTGAGCCACAGCTGGCAGGGCAAACTTAAATATTTTCAATATGAATTTTACGTTATTATTTCCAATGTCAAGTAATGAGTGTTCCTTCAGAGGTTCCCAAGTAGAAAAGTTAGACAATCCAATAGAAAAATGGATGAAAGTCAATAAACCTGTGAAAAGGTGCTCAGTTTTATTAGTTATCAGTGAAATGCAAATTAAACCACCATACATTATCATTATATGCCCCCCTCCCTGATGGAAAAAAGAAGCAGAAAATACTAATTGTAGAAAAGGAGGTAAGCAACAAGAACTACTAAAAAGTATGGGTGGGAATACAGATTGGTACAACCAATTTAGAAGAGGATTTAGCAATATCTACTAAAACCGAGTGTATGCATGGCCTGTGACTATCAGTGCCACACCTTGCAATATACCCACAGAAATGCTTGCATAAAAAACCTCATAAAAAATATGTACCAAAAAATGTGTTCAAGAATGTTCATGATAGCACAATTCACAAGAGCCCAAAACTGAAAACTACACAAATAGTCATCTACACTAAAATATTCAAATAAATTGTGATATATTCCCCAATTAAATACTATACAACATTGAGAATGAGTAAACTACAATTATGTCAAAAATATAAATAAATGTTATAAAAACAACATAGATTAGAAAAAGCCAGATGCAAAGAAGTACCTACTGTATAATTCCATTTATATAAAATGCATAAGCAGGTGCCAGGATTTATGGTATTAGAATTCAGAGAATTGGCCTTTGTGGTCCTGGCAGGGATGTAGGAATATTCTTTCCTTCACCTGAGTGCAGGTTACATGGGTGTGTTAGATTTGTGAAATTCATTAATATGTTCTCTTATGATTTGTACACTTTAAACTTCAATAAAGGTTTTAGGAAATTTTAATAAGGAATAAATGAACAACAACAAAAGTACTTGGATATTAACTAAGAGATTATTTCCATAGGAGGCACAATGAATGCCCTTAAAGAGAAACACAGCAGACACAGAAACATGGAGAGGTTAAAGCCATTGTTTTAATGGGATGGTGCAACTGAGGAGGATCTGGGTCCCCAGAGGAAATCAGTGAGAACCTCAGATACAGCTATTTCCCAACCAAAATAGGTAACTCCTTTTTGTCTATGCAACACAGATATGTAGTATCACAAAAAATATGAAATATTTCTTTTCTTCCACATTTCATCCTGCAAGAACCTTTCAGCCGCCAGCATGAAGAAAAGAGGCTTCTTATATATGCATTCACTCCACTTCTAACTGCCAACAGAAACAAAGGTAAATAAATGCACAGTGTCCTGTAAGGTCATGGTATTGTGAATAAATTAGATTGTAGACTGTACTTTAGAACTTTTTCATGGAAAATTGGACAGGATCAAAACATCAAAGTCATGTTATTGCTGGATGTTGCTTTTTCAGTTGCTTTGAGGTTATTTTCCAGAGACCTTGTTATAAGTCTTTAGTTCCCATGGTCCCTACTTACATGTGCAGGCCACAAGGCCCAGCAGATTCAGCTTGGAACAACTTGCAATGGAAAGATCATTTAGACCTGGGAGTATTCCCAGGAGTTTTCAGAGGTCCCAATCCAGGAGGCATGAAAAGTCTGGAATAGTACCAGGCAGTTTGAGGTTGCCACAGTGTTGGCTTGATGAAGGAACAATCACTGACCCAGAATTATGGGAGGCTGTGGTTCTGGCCCCACATTCCCAGTAACATTCTCTGTGACTTTTTTGCCAAGTGCCTTACTCCCTGCCTTGGTTTAATCACAGGGTACATGAAAATGTCCCAAGGGATACTAAGTGTGAAGTGGTTTGAATACCTAAAACACATACCTAAATCTATTGCTAGTATTTTTACTAACCTTAAGACCTGGGTGCCTCTGGAAGCTGAGGAGTAGGGGAGGAGGGATAGGAAGGCAGTTTAAGAAGGTCAGGGTGGCTCAGAGTCACCCTACCGAACTATCCACTCTGTGTGCTAAGCCTTACCAGTCTCTCCACCCAGCTGATCCATGGGACCATCTATGGGGGCTTTGTGGTGTGAGGATAATCAGTTTGATATTACCAAATTTGCAAGCAAATCTGTCCATTAGCCCTGGTACACCTCTCTGGAAACAAAGGAGTCCAGTGGAGACACGATGCAAAGCGTCCAGAGGTCCTGAGATCCAGGACCGCAGCAGCACAGCAGCAATCTCAATGCCATCCTCATCAGTGCCTGTCTTTGGAGTACTTCACGCCTGGCCCTTAAGTGCTACCTTTTGAATATGCAGGTTTAAGGCATGGGTAAAAGCTGCAGAGCTCAGAAAACCACAAGCAAAACAATTTTTGAGAACCTCCACTTAAGTAACTTAAATGGACCCTTCTCCATTCTATTAAGTTGCTGGCTTCTGTCCAAAGAATGTAAATTCTGACCCCTCTAACTGACGTTCCATAGGATCCCGTCATGCTGTGGGTAAGTACATCTGAACAACCAGCTCCATATGCTGATTCTGTTCAGTATCAAACATGCCTTCATTTCTAAACCTGTGAGAAATCATGCAGGTAACTGACTTAGGAGGCCAAGTTCTAAGAGTCCTAAAGAAACAGTCCCCCAACCCCCGCCCCCGCCCAAATTCTACCTGACCTCTAAAGGTCTCATGCATTCGCTCTGCTCCATTTCTGCCAATACCATCAGTCCAACTTTCCCCTCAAACTTTACTAACTCCCCATACCAAAATCCAGAACCTGCTTCTTCTCTGAAGAGAGGCACCTCCTATTATGTGTCCTTGGCATCTTCTCTCCATTCCCTGGAACAGCCCAGAGCGTCCATGTCTGCTCACATCCCTCCCTGTTGCTGCTTTTTTTTTCATCTAAGTCCTGCTTTCTTCTCATTCTTGGAGAATCTCACATCCTCTTTCTCTTCACTCTTTATAATTCTACAGGGAGGAGATTCCATTTTACCTGGTGGAACATAGGAGAGCAAGACAAGGACCATGAGGACCAAGAATAAGCTCCTCATGGCTGAACCAATCAGCAAAGAGATGTCTAAGAAACAAGGGAGAGTCACTTCATATGCAGCTCCTAAGAGATGAGGCACGGCCTGGCTAGTGAACTTTTCAAGAACAAGAACATCTGCTCGCTCCACTGGGCAGTCCAATAAACTAAAGGTCTAACTTTGAACATGACGTCTCCCCATTAAAACACACTTCCTGAGTGCCACTTACATGCTGGCAACTGAATTCACACTGTGTCAACAGCCTTATTCTAAGCCATAGTAGGATGCTGTGTAAGTATTTTTGTATCTTCAGTGTACATCCATTTAACAAATGCCTATAGTGTGCAAAGAACTGTAAGGCTACCTTATATAGTTGACAAAGTGTTTTCAATAGTAGTTTTCAATCTCACACACAAAAAGAAAAAGCCCAGGTAGATACTATTTAAAAAACTGAGAACATGAAGCTCAAGTGGAATAAATGACTTTCCCAAGTTGCCATGGACCGTAAATGGCAGCACCATGCTCACTCCTGCACACACCATACTCTTCTCCACCTCAGTGCCCGGTTCCTGCCGATCGATTAAGTTTCCCTGAAGCCTCCTTTCCTGTTCTTCTTGGCTAACTCCTGCTTACCCTTAAAGGTTCTACTCCAGGGTATCATCTCCTCCAGGAACACTTCCTTGCTTCCCCCAAAGCTCAATTTGGTGCCCCAAGTTTTCATAGTATCCTGTACATAAAACTACTGTAGTTCTTACCTCATTGTATTAAAAGTATAACTTTATGAAGTATATGACTGTAAGGACAAGAGTCTTCTCTACTGTCTACATCCTTGGAACCCAGCACAAGGCCTGGCTGAGAGTGCCACAAATGATGGTCACATTGAATTGAACTGAGTCTCTCCCTCTTTCTGCTCTCCAGACCTCTCTATTTCCATGCCCCATGCTGGATTTCTCCTCCATCCCCATAGTAACCCTGGCCCGTGCATGTTTTCCCACATTGGGCCTGTGCCTCACTTCTTACAGATATGAGTCTGAGGAGGGGAACAGTGGGCTGAGTAAGACTGAATATTTGTCACATGTCAGATTCATGGCCAGTGTTGCAGAACCTCCTTTCTCTACAGAAACTCATGGAGATAAGGACCGCCCACTTTGCTACAACTGTGCTAAGAAATTTGAGGAGGGGAAAGAGACTTAAATGCCCAAACAAAAAAATCATGTTCTGTAGACAGCCTGGCAGGGGCTAAGAAAGAATGTAAACTAGACCTGAGGATTTCTGGGCTCTAGTCCCAGTGGTATAAGGACGTCTGATCTTAAAAGCAAACACTAAGGCCTTTCTTCCCTATGTGTGGCCAGTGACTAGCTCCAAGCCAGTATCTCCTCACAGAATGTCCTAAGACTCCACAAAATCAAATCTTGCTAAACATAATTGATTCACCTGATTACACAGTTCCTCCCAGCAGATGCGTCTCTTGATCACTTGGGACAACTAGATCTCACTGTCCTCTCTGAACTTTTTTGGGTACAGAGAGTGATTTGCTATTCTTGTGTCAAAGTAGGTATTATGTATAAAAAATCAGCTGGATTCTTTCTGCTTGGGTTTGGGCTTGGGTTTTGGTCTGAAGTCATCTCCCAGAGCTTATGGGATCTCAGAGAGACTAAAACTGTAATCTTAACCATCACTCTAAGCCCTGCCCCAATATACAGTTAGAGAAACATGGTGAAAGGGTGGAGGGCTCTGGACTATGCCCTAGAAAAGCCAGGATTAAGTCAGATTTTGCCAGTAATCAGAGATGTAGTAGTGCTCAGCCCTTCATTCCTCTGGTCTAAAGTCCTCCAGTTGTTAGGAGTAGGAAGCAATATACTCTCACCTTTTAATTTCCATGGGTTCTCCCATCAGTTCTACAGGGCAGAATGGGACCATACTGAAGTCCCAACCACCCAGCTTGAAGAGGGAGTCTCCCCATCTCCAAGGGGAGCTCTAGGCTCTGGGATCCCTTCATCAGATACGTGCATCTACCTCTGATCTTCCTTTTGACATGTGTGCTTCCAACTAAGAAAATGGATGTGAATTAAGCTGGGTCATGGGAATGTGCTCCAGGCTAACCAGCTGACACCTCCAAGGATTCTCTAGAGATGGGCTGGATGTGTGGACAAAGATTCCACAGGAGAAGGCAGGTCTTGGCAAATGCACGAGCCCCTTTAAACTTTGTGATCCCGTGCTCTGTTGTGAAACATTGGGCTTCTGGTCAGAGCTTTGGGACTCTCCACTCGCAGGTTCCTGAAGCTCCAGAGGTTAGCCAGGGAAGTTAAAGGGTGGAAGCTCTGTGTGCCCACTAGTGTCTTCTGGGATTAGTGAGATGGAAGAAAAGTACCAGGGATTTTCACTGTGCTCCGGGGAGCAGAATCTCTTCCAACTTTATTTTGGATAAGCATTCATTGTAACATGAATATACTGAGCATTATACCATCCATGAAAGTGGATGTACAGCAGATTATACATCACAGAAAAGAACAATTAAGGTGGTCACAGTATAAAGATTCTGTTGTTGAAAGAGGGAAAGAATCCCTTGGGGAGCCTTGGCAAAGCAGTACCCCAGAAGACACACCTGGGAAAGCTATTTCTTGAGCATCTATGACCCTTATCTGAAAGTTTTCCAAAGAAAACGCTGTGTGTCTGCTAGCATAACAAGATTTGTAGCTATTCCATCAGGGTCTAGGAAGAGGAGGCCAAGGGGGTGCTGGAGAAGAGAAGAAATTGGCAGAGGAGCCCAAGTTCTGTAAACCCTGCTGAAAAAGAAGCAGGTGCATTAGGGAAGCACCAGCCTGCCAGACCCCTCCTGTTCTTTTCCTAGCCCTCTTTCCTCATAGTATGCAAATAAGGGCAAGCCGCTTTCCACTCCTTTTTTCTCTTTTCCTGATAAAAATAGAAAAAAGAAAAGAATTAACAATCACCAAGAACCCATAGTCTCTTTTTTTCTTTTCTTTTTTTATTGTTGACAGTATTACAAATGTCCCTCATTTCCCCCCAGTTTTATATTTTTATCTCCATTTATCCACACAATAACCTTATAAAAAGATACATTTATTTTCATTTTACAGATAAATAAACATAGATTCAGAGAAATTAGGTAACGTATCCAATATCACATAACTCATAAGTAGCAGAGCCCAGAGGTTAACCCAAATCTATCAGAATCCAAGGTTTGCCCTGGCCGGCTGGCTTGGTTGGTTGGAGCGTTGTCCTGGGCACCAAAAGAGATCATGGGTTCAATTCTTGGTCGGGGCACATAACTAGGTTGTGGGCTCAATGTCTGGTTGGGGCATGTACAGGAGGCAGTTGATCGATGTTTCCCTCTCTCGCTCTCTCTCTCCCTTCCTCTCTCTAAAATAAACAAACATATTCTCAAATGCAGGATTTTAAAAATTTCAAGGTTTATGTTCTTTTCACTGTAGCACACAGCCTCCTTCAGTGGAACATTGGTAGAGAAGTTTGGGGATTTATAAAAGAGATCATTTTATCTCATTTATTCCCATTTGGAGCCCTGAGTTGGAGTATCTGAGCATGGACCGTGCACACAGAATAAAACTTCATTAAGCATTCCCACCAAATGAGACTGTTATCACATGTCTTGGCTCCAGGAAGTCAAGCACTGGCATAGTTTGTGGTTTCTTAAATTTTTAAGCCTTTTTTTTTAACCCCTTACCTGTCTTGAAAATCTTCTCTTGTTCTTAAGTTGAACACCCTCTGACCCTTGTGTCTAACAGAAGGTCAACCTCAGTAACAGACAACAATAGCAAGCAATGGATGAGATTGTAAACTCTGGAATCCGTTACCTCGGTTCAAATCATAGCCCTTCCAATTGTGTCTCATCTCCCCAAGCATCAATTTCCTTCACTATAAACTACAGATCAAAATATGATCCATAAAAATATGGCAAGGGAAAAACTAGAATGGACCTTATGGTCTTAGACTGAAATTGGAGGTATCGGTGTGAAATATGGATTAAAAAGTGGTGTGCATATATATGTATGTTTGTGTGTGCACTTATATACAAATGTATATATACATATGTTTCCTAGCTCAGACTATGGAGAGAATCTGGGAGAAGAGCACCCTAACAGTAATAAGCATATCTAGGACCGAGATCTTTGCTACCAAATACCAGTCTCCATTAAACAGAACCAGAGATCCTGGGATAGATAGCTAAAGGCAAGTTTGGGTCAAGAAAAGAACAAGATAAGATAAGCCTGGAAATGATGTGGCCTATGCTCACATCTCTATCATTATTTCCATGAACTCCAAACTTACAGCCTAAATTTCAATCATTGAAAACGACTTGAAATTCACCAAATGTGCCATGCGCTTCCTCATTTCTGTGCCTTTGCATGTGCTGTTACCACCCCACGCACTTCCCCCCCTCCTCTCACTTTCTTAGCTAAATCCTACAGCACATTCAAGACTCAGCACAGTGTCACCTATGCTGGGAAGCTTTCCCAGACTCCTCCAATTTGAGTTAATGCCCTGACCCTTTGCTTCCACACAGAATTATCACTGTTTCCCTCTGTGTTTTTGAGAAAAATGAGCTTCTTGAAGGCAGGGTCTATAGGTTATCCACCTTTGTATCTCCAGTGCCTAACAGTACGTACCATATGGTATATACTCAGTAATTACTTGGTGATTACAAATAAATAAATAAGCCAATTACTATAGCAATTGTGTTTGGAGTTAACCTAATAATTGCAGTGTGCCAGTAAATCACATGTGTGTTCAGATCCTCAGTTTTGTCAGCTAAAAGAGAGTGAAGATCATCACTTAGATCCCTTCTCACACTGGCAGTCATTGTTGCCACAGACTTTTCTGGCCTCTTCTGGTGTTTATCCATTTTAGTGTGTGTGTCTTATGTCCTCAAGTAGACAGTAAGCTCGTTGAAGAGAGAAACTATACATATAGTGTTTCCTCTACCTTGAATCTCTACTATACAGGTAGGCAAAATAAATTGGTGTGTAAGGACTATGAAATCAGTA